TCAAAGTGCGAACAGTCAATATAGCAGCCGCCAGAATTAAAACAATAAAAACACATTAAATACAGTTCAGTAAGGAACATAGAGACTCAATTAAAACGATGGGAAAACCGAGAAAATCAAACGTTAGTCTTAATTGGCATCAAAAAAGTTAACAATATATACAAATAAAGAAACCATAAAGAAGAAATTGCAAATGTATACATGGAGGGATTTTCACTTTCAAAATGGATCTAACACTAACCGATAACGTTCTATAGTGCTTGTTATGCTAAAGCTGATGGAAACATTTTAACATTTCTTCTTTTGTTTTAGTAAACATCGAATATCCCGGACTATCCAGGGACGGCCCTACTCCTTCTTCTTTGGGCATGTCCAGGGCATGAATGGTTGAGGTACCTGACTGTATAACTGTCTGAATTGAGTTCATGCCTCTTCTACTAAACCCTTGAGTCAATTATCCAGTTTTAAGCCGATGCTGCGGAGTTGATAGCCTCCATGTCTGCCTTCTGTATGTTGTTCGTGTGCCTACTTCTAAGTTCGCCCAGTTTACATGCGGCGCATTAAAGTTGCCCACCATAAGGCTTCTACTCCTATTACGCCAGCACTTCAGTTTGCTTGGGAGCTAGTCGTCTATTACCTATTTTAAACTGAGATGCATTAGAACCACATTTCAGCATGCGACGAACCAGTTCACATGTCCCTGAATCTTGTGCCACTGTCACAACAGCTCATATGATTATAGTGCTCATCGTGCACAGGGTAAATTTACCCTCCCTACAGCTTAGTCTAGCAGCCCTACTGGATAAGAAACTAATCAACTGAATTTCACTATCAAACACTTCTGACGTTAGCAATTCTTCTGAAACAGCGATGACATACGGATTCCCTATGTCCAACACTGTCCCGAACTCCGCCATTTTATTTTGCAGACTATGGGCACCTGTGAAGAACTTTCCCTTACCACCCAGCTTGGTTTGGGTATCATTTTGTTTTGAATTTGTACAATTTGAAAAACCTTTAATTACGAGGTTTTTTCAACGTTTCAGCAGTGTTTATTTATTTCTAATTCTGCCAATAGTCTCTTAATACGGTCAACCAGGCTGAGATCCTCACGGACATATATTCCAGATCCAATTAGTTCGCGTGAGTTTCTCAGTATCAAGTTTCTTTCTTCAGCCGAAGCAAAGATAACCTTTAAAAGGCGGCTTTCGGAGTACTTCAGAATTCCCTTTTTGTCCTATTCTATAAATCTTACAGTGCTAACTCCTGAAACTGTTTCTGGGAGTAACTTGCTTATTAAGGACCTAGTGTGACTGAGATCATGCTCAAATCTAGCTTTTGATTGCTTTTCGGAAGATTTAATTAACTTTTGAAAAATGGAACCTGTCAGTGAGGTCCGTCTTAAAACTCTGTGTAATTTTAATTGCTAAAATCTCCTCCACGAGGTTTGATTTTGTATGAAATGCAGAGGTCCCACTTTATTTTCTTAATTTTCTTTTTCTGGATGTGTCTGTTAGCCAATCATTTACCTTATTATGTTTCATGATCGCATCACCTTCACCATTCAGACCTTGCTCCTCCATAGTCTGTTTAGCGTTGACATGCGAACCTTGAAATAAAATAGCAGATCCGCATACTTTAGTGATGTTTATAATTTGTTTCTTTTTGGCGTGCTTTTTCTTTTTCCTTGTACCAATGCATACAACGGAATGCTTGTTATCTGCTTCTCTAATGTAACTCACCTTGACGGTTCTATGCAAATCTAAAGCTAGGCTCATGACAACGCTCACTGTTTCCTCAAAAACTGAATTCTGCTAATGTGCTGCTGTCTGGTTATCTGGTGGGATGAGGATGGCTCATGAGTGAACTTGAAAAAAGTGTAAGAAGCTCAGAAAGAACAGAACATATTCCAACCAATCAACTTTTGGAAAAATATTCCAGAAGTAGCTACCCTATTGGACAAATACTAAAAACCTCTGTATGCGGATTGGATGACTATCATGATGATTTCGTTTCTGCTAAAACCTATAAATATATGACAGTTTTGTGCCATTAATGAAACTCTTTGGAATGGCATTCTCTTCACTTCTCTTTTGTCCAGTTACTATTCAGCCTTTTCATATCGGCTTCTATTTCCCGGCGTAGTGTGTTCTTTGGCCTTCCTCTTTTCCGCTTCCCTTACGGATTCTAAGTTAGGGATTGAGTCGTGATGCACATTGGTGATTTCTTAAATGTATGTCCGATCCACTTCCAACGTATTTTCCTAATTTCCTCTTCAGCTGGAAGCTGGTTTGTCCTCTCCCATAAAACGCTGTTGCTGATAGTATCCGGCCAACGGATGTTGAGTATTTTGCGTAGACAACTGTTTATAAATACTTGTACCTTCCTGATGATGGCCGTAGTAGTTCTCCACGTTTCAGCTCCATACAGTAGGACTGTCTTGACGTTCGTATTAAAGATTCTGACCTTGAAATTGGTTGAGAGTTGTTTTGAGTTCCATATGTTCTGCAATTGTAGAAATGCTGCCCTTGCTTTGCCAATCCTTGCCTTTACATCTGCATCCGATCCTCCTTGTTTATCAACGATGCTCCCCAGGTACTTGAATGTTTCCACCTCTTCCAGAGTTTCGCCATCAAGTGTGATTGGGTTGGTGTTCTCCATGTTGCATTTGAGAATCTTGCTTTTTCCTTTGTGAATGTGGAGACCTATCGATGCGGAGGCTGCTGCTACATTTGCTGTCTTCATCTGCATTTGGTCGTGTGTATGAGAGAGGAGGGCTAGGTCATCTGCGAAGTCCAAATCATCTAATTGATTCTGAGCTGTCCATTGTATTCCGTATTTCCCTTCAGATGTCGAATTCTTCATAATCCAGTCAATCACTAGAAGGAAGAGAAATGGGGAGAGTAGACAGCCTTGTCTGACTCCGGTCCTTACTGGAAATGCATCTGTCAGCTGTCCTCCATGCACCACTTTGCATTTTAATCCATCGTATGAGTTTTGGATAATGTTGACAATCTTTTCAGGAACTCCATAGTGTCGAAGAAGTTTCCACAATGTTCTCCTGTCCACGCTGTCAAACGCCTTCTCATAGTCGATGAAGTTGACGTATAGTGATGATTTCCACTCAACTGATTGTTCAACGATGATCCGTAGTGTCGCAATCTGGTCTGTGCACGACCGATCCTTACGGAATCTAGCCTGATGATCCCTAAGTTCGGCGTCTACTGCGTCTTTCATTCGATTCAGCAGCACTCTGTTGAAAACTTTTCCTGGTACTGATAACAAACTGATACCTCTGTAGTTCTCACATTGGCTCAGATCTCCTTTCTTTGGTATCTTGATGAGATATCCTTCTTTCCAGTCCGTTGGCACTTGTTCCTCTTCCCAAATCTTTTTGAATAGAAGGTGAAGCATGTTTGCAGTTATTTCAATGTCTGACTTCAGTGCTTCTGCTGGTATATTGTCAGGTCCTGCCGCCTTCCCACTTTTGATTTGTCCGATGGCCATCTTGACTTCTTCGATTGTTGGTGGAGTGACATCTATTGGAAGGTCTGTGTGGGCTGCTTCGATGTTCGGTGGGTTCAATGGGGCTGGTCTATTCAGCAGTTCCTCGAAGTATTCTGCCCATCTTTTCCTCTGTTCTTGAATCTCAGTGATTATCTTTCCTTCTTTGTCCTTGACTGGTCTCTCTGGTTTGCTATATCTCCCTGCCAATTTCTTCGTTGTATCATATAGTTGTTTAATATTCCATTCTCTTGCAGCTTTTTCCGCCGTCGTTGCTAGTTCTCCCATGTATTTCTGCTTGTCGGCTTTAATGCTTTTCTTCACTTGCTGGTTTGCTTCTGCGTAGTCTGCTTGTGCTTTGACTTTCTCTGCTCGTGTTCGGCTGTTGTTCATTGCTAGTTTCTTATTCTTCCTTTCTTGAATTTTGTCCAGGGTTTCCAGAGAGATCCATTCCTTGTGATGATGCTTCTTAGGACCAAGAACCTCCTGACACGTTGAAGTTAGTGCTTCTTTGATCCCTTTCCAGTTGTCCTCCAAAGTAGTTTCTTGTTCTGTCAGTGGATCCTGTACAGCTTGGAACCTGTTGTTGAGAGTTATTTTGAATTCATGAAGCTTGTCAGCATCTCGAAGGAAGGCTGTATTAAACCTTTGTAATGCTGTTTGTCCAGTTGTCCAGTCTTTCTTAAGCTTCAGTCTCATCTTGGCCACAACCAGGTGGTGATCTGAAGCTGTAGAATATGTAGAATATTTTTGTATCTCTGTTTTGTTAAAGGATACTGAGGATCGAATTCCACCCCTATTAAAAAGGAATTCGCGACTAACCATCAAATCAGCCACATCTCTGAACATTAACATTGGATCCAGATTATCACCAACACCACAACCTGTATCGCCTGAATTTACAGCCAACAACCTGTAGAATATATTGTACATAGAAAAACAAGTTTTTCTGAGATCATCTGTATAAACTGTATGAAATTCAGTAAGTTTAAGTATAACATCAACGACTTGGGTAACAACCAACTCAGAAAGAGATTTTATAATCAATGATTAAATGGTTCATTGTTCAATGTAGATACAAGAAAACACAAATTATCATTTGTGGTTTTTAGTTGACAGCGTGAGTCATTTGAAACTAGACCACCAAGGAGAACCTGGAATCACTGGACGGCCGTTTCGTCCTATTGTGGGTTTAATAATTCTGTTATTCGATAATTTTGTTTAGTGAGCTATGCCTCCATTGAGCTCTCCAAGTTATTCAAATATTCGCTGCTTGTTTAAGAAATGTAGTTTCATTCACTTCTAAGTAGACGAATTACTATTGACTATCTGATACTTTAACACTACCGAGATAACACAACACTATAGATAGTGGAAAGTATCATTGACTATTTATATTAAAGCAGATAATATCTGCGCATCTATCTCTGGTGGAATTCCGATTGCCACTTTGATTTAACTGACCAATTCAACAACGTTGATGATCATTAACGAACTTACTTTTCTCTTCCACTTTCCTTAATCCATTTGTTGATTTCTTGTCTTACACCTTCAACAAATTTCACACTTTCATTTTCATATATTTGAGAATTTGGACAGTTTTCCAACCATTCTGAACTGAGCTAAATATACAAGTAGAGTAAAAAGGAAGGAGAACAGTTAATAAAGAGTCAAAAATGGTGGAGAAAATTTATAGCTCAGGTGAGTGATTTTGATGTAGGTATGTCCTCTACGTTGGATGGTTTGGTTGTTGAACTTTCATCGTCCTTCTGAACGACATCATCAGCACAAAATATGGAGATTTCGGACACAGGAAATTCCAAAAACACCAGAGAATGTTTACAAGCTTGGTACTCAGGTCAACCGGCAGTAAACAAGTACAGTGAAATCAATCCAGTTTATCAACCAATCATGAAAATTATGCAGAAACATGGGAACAAAAATCAAACCAATAGGAGATATAACCAAAAGAAAAAAACAATGACAGATTTAAGGTCAATAAGAACCAATCAACATCGAGGTGCGCAGGACAAGCTGTGAATCACATGTGGAAAAATTCAAACACTTCACTGCTACCCGAAGTTTGTGCTGATGATGTCGCTCAGAAGGACGATGAAAGCTCCACGACCAAACCATCTAGCTCAGAGAACAAACCTACATCAAAAAGACTCAAAAGAAATATCACTGAAGCTTCATAGACTTACGTTACTTTGTGTTTGTTATTTTCCTTCAACAAAAAATGCTGCATTATCCAGAAGAATTCCATCTATTCCTTCTTTCATCCAAAAGTCGATCACATTCTATATCGGAAATAGAGTTCATAGATGTATTCATTGAAACTTACATATATTTCAGTTTGAGTTTTGACAGAAGTTAAATCTAGATCTACATTCGGTGATCCGAATACAGAATAAAATTTCTGACCATCAATATCTACATTGATCGCTTCACCGTATCGTGATATCTTTATTAAAAATAAAATATGAAGAAATTATGGAAGTAGGACAAACACATTACTCTTTTATTGAAAGAATCTTTGAACAATGTCAATTCCACTTTGTTCTTTTGGATCCATTTATGATTGATCGATATTGCATTGAAATTGAATGTCAAGATGACTTTTACACCCTTTTTATGAAATCGTTTTAAAAAGACACGAAAATCGTCCATTGTGCCAACTGCCTCATCTAACTCCTTATAATCTTCAACTAATCCGAGCATATTGTGTGAATTGGTATAAAATCCTTTAGTGATTGGACCCAATATCACATATCCTGCACCAACTACAGTTTTGATGTAATCTACTTCAGATGTGAGACCTATATAGAAAAAGAGTCATTTGAGTGATAAAAGTTTTACACTAATACTCATTACCGTTTAGATCTCCAATTAGATCGCCAGAAGAGTCTTTAAATGCAAATACATCTAACCAATAACCAACTGTTGATTTCCAAAATGGTAATTTGGGCACAGATGGGCATTTTTGTCCAAGAATTATGTAAACAGTACACCCCGCTAAAAGACCCAAAAATAGAATCCCAAACCCAATTAACAATCCTATTCGAATATATTTCCAATGTGGTTCAGTTTTGTCTAAATTAATCAGATCTTCACATGTGAGTAGACGACTCTCTAATTGAGATTTATGCACAGGTGATTTTGATGAACAACTCATTGCATCTTCTTGTTCTTTGAATGTCTTGTCGAAGTTCTTTGAATAGCTGTATTTGCCTTTCTCCACATAAACCTTATTTCTTTCAGTTCTCGGTTTTGGAGTTTTAGAATTACTCGTATACAGTAGACGATCTGTCATTTTTCTTGATTTTCTTCTGATAGCTACTTCTTCTCTGATGATGTGTTCCTCTTTATATAGAATTCCTCTCGCTAAATAATGTCTGTGTTTGAACATACAGTAATGATATGATTATCAAATGGAATGAACAACTAACCAGTCAACTCAATATCTTCTCATTATCATTGGATAGTTAAATGGTGAATGTGTTGTGCAGTGTAACTTTTAATCTCTGCGTGTGTGTGTATCTGACAGAGAAACGCCGTTTTTAAATGGTCAAAATAATTACACAATCGATGGTATTTTTAAACAAAGATGGTCAATGTATTTTGTGTTTGCGACCCTACACAAGCTTATTTTAAAGTATTTTAAGTCAGTAAATTACTTATCAACAAGAAGAAGAATTGAATTATACAGGTGAATATCGATGACTTAAGTTCTATGTGATAGACATATAGGTGAACTGTATAAGCGTGTAGGATTTATTTTGTCCTACAGATATACTATTAAAACTGTAAACGCGATACTGGCGATCCCAGAGTCTATGTGAAAGCTATAGTCAGAACAAGGACAACTTGGCTTTAAACTTTATCTGTTTCTGAACATAAAAACAATTAGATTAGTACAATAATAAAAGAATTACAGTCATTAAGTGAAACGCACAAACATACCGACCAGTATTGCGTGTCTTAATAAAATGAATAAATTTATGAGTCACACTAATATAATAGGATAATAATGTCTTTCAATTGGTAGGTCACATGCAACAGGGATAGTTTACAGACACATCAGACCATGTTAACGTGGTGGGAGCTTAAGAAACGATTTGATTGGTTAGTTATGGACATAACTAACAAAGCGAGTGAACAATGAATACATGAGCATCGCTGAGGAGTCCTGTATTAGAACGAATCGGCCGTCTAGTTCTTTCACCTTATCAATGGTAGTCTAACATTGATCCATTCATGATATATCCATCATCACAAACTCATTACTACTTACTTACTTATTTGCGCCTGTTACCCCTTGTGGAGAAGCATAGGCCGCCCACCAGCATTCTCCATCCAACTCTGTCCTGAGCCTTCCTTTCCAGTTCTTTCCAGTTACTATTCAGCCTTTTCATATCGGCTTCTATTTCCCGGCGTAGTGTGTTCTTTGGCCTTCCTCTTTTCCGCTTCCCTTACGGATTCTAAGTTAGGGATTGAGTCGTGATGCACATTGGTGATTTCTTAAATGTATGTCCGATCCACTTCCAACGTATTTTCCTAATTTCCTCTTCAGCTGGAAGCTGGTTTGTCCTCTCCCATAAAACGCTGTTGCTGATAGTATCCGGCCAGTGGATGTTGAGTATTTTGAGTAGACAACTGTTTATAAAAACTTGTACCTTCCTGATGATGGCCGTAGTAGTTCTCCACGTTTCAGCTCCATACAATAGGACTGCCTGGACTTTCGCATTAAAGATTCTGACCTTGAAATTGGTTGAGAGTTATTTTGAGTTCCATATGTTCTTCAATTGTAGAAATGCTGCCCTTGCTTTGCCAATCCTCGCCTTTACATCTGCATCCGATCCTCCTTGTTTATTAACGATGCTTAATAAGTACGTGAATGTTTCCATTTCTTCCAGAGTTTCGCCATCAAGTGTGATTGGGTTGGTGTTCTCCGTGTTGCATTTGAGAATCTTGCTTTTTCCTTTGTGAATGTGGAGACCTATCGATGCGGAGGCTGCTGCTACATTTGTTGTCTTCATCTGCATTTGGTCGTGTGTATGAGAGAGGAGGGCTAGGTCATCTGCGAAGTCCAAATCATCTAATTGATTCTGAGCTGTCCATTGTATTCCGTATTTCCCTCCAGATGTCGAATTCTTCATAATCCAGTCAATCACTAGAAGGAAGAGAAATGGGGAGAGTAGACAGCCTTGTCTGACTCCGGTCCTTACTGGAAATGCATCTGTCAGCTGTCCTCCATGCACACTTTGCATTTTAATCCATCGTATGAGTTTTGGATAATGTTGACAATCTTTTCAGGAACTCCATAGTGTCGAAGAAGTTTCCATAATGTTCTCCTGTCCACGCTGTCAAACGCCTTCTCATAGTCAATAAAGTTGACGTATAGTGATGAGTTCCACTCAACTGATTGTTCGACGATGATCCGTAGTGTCGCAATCTGGTCTGTGCACGACCGATCCTTACGGAATCCAGCCTGATGATCCCTTAGTTCGGCGTCTACTGCGTCTTTCATCCGATTCAGCAGCACTCTGTTGAAAACTTTTCCTGGTACTGATAACAAACTGATACCTCTGTAGTTCTCACATAGGCTCAGATCTCCTTTCTTTGGTATCTTGATGAGATATCCTTCTTTCCAGTCCGTTGGCACTTGTTCCTCTTCCCAAATCTTTTTGAATAGAAGGTGAAGCATGTTTGCAGTTATTTCAATGTCTGACTTCAGTGCTTCTGCTGGTATATTGTCAGGTCCTGCCGCCTTCCCACTTTTGATTTGTCCGATGGCCATCTTGACTTCTTCGATTGTTGGTGGAGTGACATCTATTGGAAGGTCTGTGTGGGCTGCTTCGATGTTCGGTGGGTTCAATGGGGCTGGTCTATTCAGCAGTTCCTCGAAGTATTCTGCCCATCTTTTCCTCTGTTCTTGAATCTCAGTGATTATCTTTCCTTCTTTGTCCTTGACTGGTCTCTCTGGTTTGCTATATCTCCCTGCCAATTTCTTCGTTGTATCATATAGTTGTTTAATATTCCATTCTCTTGCAGCTTTTTCCGCCGTCGTTGCTAGTTCTCCCATGTATTTCTGCTTGTCGGCTTTAATGCTTTTCTTCACTTGCTGGTTTGCTTCTGCGTAGTCTGCTTGTGCTTTGACTTTCTCTGCTCGTGTTCGGCTGTTGTTCATTGCTAGTTTCTTATTCTTCCTTTCTTGAATTTTGTCCAGGGTTTCCAGAGAGATCCATTCCTTGTGATGATGCTTCTTAGGACCAAGAACCTCCTGACACGTTGAAGTTAGTGCTTCTTTGATCCCTTTCCAGTTGTCCTCCAAAGTAGTTTCTTGTTCTGTCAGTGGATCCTGTACAGCTTGGAACCTGTTGTTGAGAGTTATTTTGAATTCATGAAGCTTGTCAGCATCTCGAAGGAAGGCTGTATTAAACCTTTGTAATGCTGTTTGTCCAGTTGTCCAATCTTTCTTAAGCTTCAGTCTCATCTTGGCCACAACCAGGTGGTGATCTGAAGCTATGTCAGCTCCTCTCCGGGTTCTCGCATCTTCCATTGATTTTCGGAATTTTTTGTTGATACAGATGTGATCTATCTGGTTCTCTGTGGTATGGTCCGGTGAGACATGTAGCTTTGTATATGCGTTTGTGTGGGAATATTGTACCGCCTATAACCAATTTGTTGAAAGCACATAGGTTTGCAAGTCTCTCCCCATTTTCATTTCTCTCTCCTAGTCCATGTCGTCCGATTATATCTTCATATCCTGTGTTGTCCACTCCAACTTCAGCATTTAGATCTCCCATCAGGATGGTCACGTCCTTTCGTGAGCACTTTGCTACAATTGATTGCAGCCTTTCATAGAACTGATCTTTATCATCGTCGTTGCTATAATTGGTGGGTGCATAACATTGGATAACGTTCATTGTGATCCCTTGCTTCTTTTTTCTGAATGATGCTTTGATTATCCTGGGTCCATGAGATTCCCATCCCACAAGTGCATTTCTTGCTTCTTTGGACAGCATTAGAGCAACTCCCTGAGTGTGTGGAGCATTTTCCCCTTCGTGACCGGAGTACAGCAGCATCTCTCCTGTACCTAGCCTTTGTTGTCCAGTTTGTGTCCAATGGGTTTCGCTGATTCCGAGTACTTCCAAGTTGTATCTCCTCATTTCCATTGCTATTTGGCTGGTCTTTCCTGTTTCCCACATTGTCCGGACGTTCCATGTACCTATAAAGAGTGTTGCTCTGGTTGTTAGAAGATGCATCGGTCTCGTGACTTCCGAAGAATTTCGGCTTTCATCATGAGACGTCATTATTCCTTCAACTCCCAGGGCAGAGTTTAAATGGTTTGAATTATTTTTTTCTGGTTAGCGTTTTTTTAGCGAGTTAGCTTTTCTACGGGATGGAGTCGCTAACCCCATGCCCAACCCTCCTCCTTTACCCGGGCTTGAGACCGGCAGTAACTCTAGAAGTGCTACAGGCGGTATATTAAAAATCTAAGCTCTAAATATAACAAAACACTTCAGAGTTCAGTTATCATAACAACAGACGATTGAGAACGGCAGATATATGTGTGTAACAGTATATTTGTGAGCAGTTGCTGGTATGTCGTGCTAAGGGGCATTCAAAACAGAAAAGAGAGTCTCGAAGCTATGCAATTCTAAAAAAAATTACTGTCACTCGGAGTAAATGTACAAATTATGAGAATTAATCAAAGAAATGCAAATAGTATCAAAAACTAATTATAAAATAAGTTTGTCGAGACTATCTCTATACCTGAACAAACTCAGCACGTCAAAGCTAAAGTAAGTGTTTAGCTGCTAATCAAATAATCGGGGAATCGTCATCATTATCTAAGTCAGTTCTGAAATTCCCAATTTCCAGATTGATAATACCAAAAGATCTTCTTGTAGTAGTTACTGAGTGTACTTTCTGATTGCAAATCATAAAAGATCGGTTGTTAAGTTAACGCTGTCACCAAGACTTAATTATCATGTGTTTGGATGTAACATATTGTGAGTTATATGACGAATTAGAATCGTAATCAAACTTTTATCCCCTATGTTGTAAAGATTCTTAGTTTCACACGCAGAGAGATTTTTTGGCCATTCCCTTTTTCTTCTATTTGGAGGGGCAATGAATTTTTAGGATCTGATGATGATACTACTCAAAAATTTCCAAACAAGTTATTATAAAGCTGATATATCTAGAATAATCTATTTACATTTGATTTCTAGGTTTAGGTATGGCGATGTTTAATGCCTAAGCTGACTAGTTGCAGATGAGCTAAGTTACACGGAATAATAATAA